ATAGATAGATAGATAGATAGATAGATAGATAGATAGATAGATAGATAGATAGATAGATAGATGGATGGATGGATGGATAGATGGATAGAATAAGATAGCTAGATATGATGGTTAGATAGACAGGATAGATAGATAGATAGAATAAGATGGCTAGATATGATAGAATAAGATGGCTAGATATGATAGAATAAGATAAACAAGAGAGATAGATAGACATAGCTAGATAGATGGATGGATAAATGATAGAATAAGATAGCTAGATATGATAGATAGGATAGATAGATAGATAGATAGATAGATAGAATAAGATAGACAGAATAGTTAGGTAGATAGAATACGATAGAGATATATAAAATGTATATATACACACACATATATGCATACATACATATATAGTGCTTTATGTGTATATATATATATAATGTATATATGTGTGTGTGTGTGTATACAAACCTAAACATATGGATATACATCCATATATGCATCTATCTGTCTGCTTATACCTATCTATCTATCTGACATCCCTTTTTTATGGATGAGGAAAAATGAGGCTCAATAAGGCTAAGTGATTGACCACAGGCCACCCAGGTTCAGTATTTCAGGTGGGACTTGAACCCAGGACATCCTGCCTCCCAGGCCAGCACTCTCTCTCCACTCCCCCAGCCCTGCCTCTTGTGACTTGTGTTTCCTGTCCTTTGCCAAGGCCTGTTCCTGTTCCTGTGTGCCCTGTTCTACCTGCTTCAGGCCCAGAATTTCCTGCAGGAGGGAATGAGCTACACCCTGGAAATAAACTACTACCTGACATGGGTGGGCATTTTCCTCTTCATGATGACAGGTGGGGATGGGAGTTGAGGCTCCCTCTGGGATGAAGCTGGGGCTGGGGCAGGGATAGAGGTTGGAATGGAGCTGGGAATAGGGACAGAGCTGGCCTGGGGGGTGGGGATGAGGAGAGGCTGGGAATGAGGTGAGGATGAGGATGAGGATGAGGCTGGGACACAGAGGGGGGACAGACTTTGCTGTCAGATTAGGGAATGGGGAAGAGAGGCTAAGAAAGGTGGTCTAGGGATGGTGTGGAGGTGGGATGGAAAGGAGGCAAGGGAGGAGAGGATAGAGAGAGTCCAGGGACATGGGTTCAAATCTCACATCCTGCATGACCTTGGGCCAGTCACAATCTTCCTAGGCCTCAGTTTTCCCAAGTAAAATGACATGGTTGGACTAGTTGGACTCTTTAGATCTGTGGTCTTGAGAAATAGTGATGTTTGGGTTGGGAAATGGTCTGAGGTGAAGATGGTACGTGGAAGGAGGAAGGGATATATGATAGGAATGGGTGTGGGGGAGGATGGAGAAGGAATATGGTATCTCATACTCATTCTCCCCTTCTCATAGGCTTCCTTTGCTTCCTCAACTATCTGAATTTCTGGTCTATAATTACACCTGGGGGGTGCTGGCTTTAGGCCATTAAGATCGATTCTGGACCCTGCCCGCCTGACTTCTTACTCCCACCCCAACCCTTACACCTTCCAGCTGAGCCCATCACCATCCCTGGGCCACCCCTTCCTCCTCCTTGATTCCTCAATTTAATAAACTCATGTGTCCTCACTCTTCCCAACCTGGAGTCCATCCACTCAATCAGCTTGACTTTACTGAGCTCCCCTGAGCCCCCTCCCTCTTGGGCTCCATGTTTCTTTCCCATTACATGCTCCAAAAGGTAAGAAGCCATGGTCCTTGTTCTCAAGATGTCCCAGTCTTGTTAGGGAGATGGGGACCCCACAATTGCAACCCTAAGGAGAACCTCAGAATCGCTGGGTGGCTGGCATTGATAGTGACATCCAGTACACACAGAGCTTTACATGGCTCTCCTTGGACCCTCACAACAGCCATTGTGGTCCCTGTTTTACAGAGGAGGAAGTCAAGACTGAGGGTCACACTGAGACAGGATTTGAACTCAGCTTTGCACTGACTCCATGGCCAATACTTTATGGCTGTCCCATTACTAACCTGAAATAAATCTCCCCTTGTGCTATGGAAGCAGCCTGAATTTGGAGTCAGAAGGTCTCGGTTTAAATTTGAGCTCTGCTATTTTCTGGAATCTTGGACAAAACTCAATCTCTCTCAGTTTCTTCCTCTGTTCATTGAGGGGTGAAGCTTGGGCAGTCTCCAAGGGAGAAGGCTGGAGAGGTGGTCTGGGGCCTGAGGGAAGAGAAAAACCTTAGAGGAATTGTTGCCATGTTTCCTGCTCATTTGTTATTTTAAAGCACTGTGGGAGGGAAGCAAGGAAGGAAGAAGAGAGGGAGGAAGAGAGAGAGAGAGAAGAAGAAGGAGGAGGAGGAGGAGGAAAGAAAGAAGAGGAAAGGAAGAAAAAAGAGAAAGAAGAAAATAAAGAGATAAAGAAGGAATAAAGAGAAAAAGAATGAAGGAAGGAATTGGAATGGGAATTTAAGGGGGTCCCTTTCTGCTCTGAATCTGAGGGGCCTGGCTTCTCTAGGAGTTCAATGAAGGGAATAATGAGTATGGAGCAAGGGGTTGTGGGCTCAAGGAAGATGCAAGGTCTAAACAAAGAACAGAATGGAGATGTGAACCATGGTGTAGACAGAGGCCAGGCAAAGGCTGAGACCAGTGATACTCTAAGCAGTGGAAGCTATGACCAGCACTGGATCTTCAGTGCTTTCTTCCAATTCACCCCTTGGGCCTCAGGCATTTGGGGAAAGGCCAAGGGGTACAAGGATCCATGGCCTTTTCCTCCTGCCAATGAATACCTCAGGGCCTTCTTGCATCACCTTTTCTCCAGACGCTCTACCCCAAGGGCTGGCTGGCCTCTTCATTCTGGCTGCCATGACAAACTTCCCCATGGGGCTTTCCCCCCCCAGGCACACTAGGGAACAGGCCCCATCGTCACAGATTTTCCTATTCTACCCGTGAGTCAAAATGTCAGTTCCTCGAAGGCTTTCTTGGGATCCACTGGAAAATGCACATACATCAGAGAGGTATATACAGGATGTTACAAAAGTCTTAGTGTACTTTTAAGCTATAATACTTTTGGGACATCATTTATATGTATATGTATGTGCAAATATGTTATATATGTATATGTGTATTGCACTGCATGTTTAGTATATGTGTGTACATGGATGTGTGTGTTTCATGTGTATTGAATGTATGTATGTGTATGTATAAATGCACATACATAGGCTAAACTTAAACATCCCCAAGTCAGCATTTCCATATACACAGCAGAGCACAAGAGAACTGGATATGGAAGTGTGAATCTCCATTTCACACTGCTTGCATGTTTTCCGAAAGGTATATAATAAATTGCATTTTTTTGTTGCTTTCAAAATTGTTGTTTGCTTGTTTCCTTCTGTACTTCTGTCTGTTCTTGTATATGTATATATGTGGGTGTGTATATGTATATACATACTCATATATATATTTCAACACCTCTCTTTTTGTGCATCATTATTGCTGCCCCCTCCCCTCAACTCTTAATTTAAAAACCAAGAGAAAAAATGGGGAAAAAAATTAGCAATCAATGAACAGTCAAGCAAAACAAAGTGTGTGTTTCTTCCTGAACCTTGAGTCCAACCAGTCTCTGTCAGGTGGTGGGTCACATGCTTCACCCCTGGGGCTCCTGGAGACATGGGTGGTCATGGCTTTGATCACAGTGCTAAAGGCCTTCAAAACTGTTTTTCTTTACAATGTTGTTGCCCTCGTATAAATTGTTCTTCTGATTCTACTCACTTCATGGCTTCAGCTCATGTTACCGAGGAATCTCTGAGATGGTCTCGTTCATTTTTTATGGCACAATAATATGCCATTACATTAATATAACCACAATTTTTTCAGCCCTTCCCCAATGGATGGGAACTCCCTTAAATTCCTATTTCCATTCCTTCCTTTCTTCTTTCTTTCTCTCTTCATTCCTTTCTTCTTTTTTTCCTTTCTTTCTTTCCTTTCTTCCTCCTCCTCCTCATCCCTCTTCTCTCTCCCTTTCTTCCTCCCTCCCTCCTTTCTTCTTTCCCTCTCACAGTGATTTAAAGTAACAAAAGGGCTGATGAGCAGGAAACGTGGCAACAATTCCCCTAAGTTTTTTCTCTTCCCTCAGGCCCCAGATCACCTCTCCAGCCTTCTCCCTCCTCTCTTTAGCTAACCCTGTCTCCTCCAAACTAACCCTAGAGCCAGGTCCTTCCCTGATAGCTCTGCCCCAGGCAATCCTGCCTCTTCTTCAGGCCCAGATAAATGGTCCTTGGGTATCAAGCTGGCATCAAACTGAAAGAGAAACAGGAGTCACTGGACCATACCTAAGGATCCCAGTGGGCTGCGTGTACACTTAGAAAGCCACATGTTGACATGATCTCTGGTCTTTCGTTCAGTGTTTCCCAATTACATTTTAGCCTGGTTCCTGCACTTGATAGCACAGTGTTGCCCACACAGTATTTGACCCCAAGGGTGTAGGGGAGAGGCCGCTGGACTTGGAGCCAGAAACACCTGGTTCAAATCCCATTTCAGAGACTGTGCAACCCTGGACAAGCCATTTGACCTCTCTGGGCCTCAGTTTCCTCATCTGTAAACTGAGGGGGTTGGGCTCAATGCCTCTAAGGTCCCTACCAGCTCTAAATCCACGTTTCTGTTATTATCCTTCAGTGAGCCTCCCCTGATCCCAGTGGTTTGACCCCATTGTATGGTCCCTCTTCCCAATGCCTCGGCAGGTTTGTACCATTGTATTCACTCTGCTGGGTCTGGGGCAGCAAGGAATGGGAAGGCCATTGGACCAAAATCCTGGAAGTTACAAGATTAATCTTATGCAACATGATGATATTAATAACCAGACCCCCCATTTCCACTTTCCGTCTCTTCAATTCATCTGTACATCTGTCCAAGTACTCCTCCTTAGGTCCAATGTCATCCCCTACTCAGAAAGACCAGTGGCTCCCTTTTGCCCTAAGGTATTGAGTCCTCAGCTTGGCACTCATGGCCGCCTTGATCATGCTTCGTTTTATCTTTCTAGATTTCCTCCTCACAGTTCCCTTCATGCACTCTAGGCTCCATGATCTCTGAGGACTCAACCTCTTGATTAATACTACATACCATCTAGGTGACTCATATATCTGCCCCCATACATATACCCTACCTATGATGTAATGGACAGTTTGAAGTCATAAGACCTAAGTTTGAACTCCAACTCTTCTAATTACTACCTGTGTGGCCTTGGATGAGTCATTTCCCCTGCTTCACATGGTTTCAGTTTCCTTATTTGTAAAAGTAAGAAGTCTGGATTGGATTATCTCCATTATAACTCTACATCCTATTATCCTGGGATCTCAGGCATTTTACACACACATACACACACACATGATTTGATTCCTTGAGACCATGAAATCCTTTGCCCTTCATTTCTAGCTCCTAACTCCTTTGGGCACTCAGGCATCAAGCAACCCCCTATCCCTAGAAATGAATGATGGTGTCATAAGGGAGGGAAGTTCCAGTCTTTTCTTTCCATAACTACCAGCTTTCAGAGAACCAGACATCTCCTTCTTAGGACTGTCCCTCTCCAGGCTCTGACTCCACACCGGGTTTAATAGATCAGTCAACACCCCAAGAATCAAAAATAATTCGTTTCACAAATACCTATTTATATACCCTAGCTAAAAAGCAATCTCCAAAGTGATTAAATGTAGCCTGAAATACCAGACAGTTAAAATTAGGGCTAGACAGACCACTATGATAGAATTAGACCAGGATTAGAAAAGATTAGAGTCATTTAAGTAAATAATTTCTGGGTGAAAAGTAAATCAGAAAAAAAGACAGTAAATGACCATTGTCTTCCAAAGCCTGGCCAGCCTAAACCCTGGGATACAAGTAGATATCACATCTATCTCTTCACCACCCAGAAGCAGGATGGAGAGCTCCAGGTAGACCATGTGCAGGGAAGACGTAGATAAAAGAAAGTAGGAACCGCAAGGAAAATAAATTCAAAGCAAAAAGCAAGAGAGTTCTATAAGGGTCTCAAAAGCTCACCTCCAGAGTCACAGACCAGACTTTACATGTTACTTGCTCCAAAGGGCTCAGAACTGGGTCCTAGATCAATACACCTTGGAGAAAAGTTAATTCAGACTGCCCTAGGCCTGCTCACTAACTTTTTTTTTTAACAGCAGTCCCAGATACTTTTGTAAGAATCTTTAGAGTTGACTTAAGCCTCTGCAGTTTCACTAGAATCTCAGCCTACCACACTCCCTAAGGGTCTCCAATACCTAGTTTCTTCCATTTCTTCCCCATCCAAGGCTCTGAACGCCCACTCCTCACTTCTTCATCCATCCTTCCCCTTCCATCTTACTTCCTCAAATAACACAGATGTGATCAGTATTCAGAGGCTTGATATTTATTCGGTATTTAGTCTCAGGCCTTCCCTACGCCCCTATGAAATTCTATACAACTCATTGCTTCCTAGATGGAAAATTCCCATCACTATGGACCACCATTGTGAACCTAAATGCACCTTGTCAAGGATACTGTGGAAAGAATTACTGTTACAA